GCAAGACCCCGGCCTTGTGTTACCCCCCCCCCCCCCGCTGCACTGGAGTCACTCCAGCTTTTCTTGGCAGCTGATGCTTTGAGGTGGGTTAGCATCCACTTATGGGTGGGATGTGTGTGTGTGTCGGGGGGGCAGACAGAGGTTTGGGCTGGGCCTGTGGCAACGCAGGGGCAAGGGGCAGCTGGGGGCCTCCCCGCACACCTCCCCAACCGTCTTGGCCTAAGAAAGCTCAGTGGTTCTCGTCGAGAGCTGGTTAAGGTTCAAGAAGGTCTCGCGTCCAAGAATGTTCGGCCGCTTCCCTTTCCCTGCCCTGGTCATCCAGCCGGGAACCCTGGACGTCCCGTTTTGAAACATGTAGAAATAAAAGTTGTTCTGCCAGTGGGTCGTTGTCTCCTGAATGGGAAACCTTTCACTCAGAGTGTGGCAAGTTCTCCACTGTTGCTCTGTGGAGATCAAGCACGCCAGCCTCAAGACTTTCGTTTGTCTCCCTCGGAATGCGTTCCTCTAGCGGATTTAGCGTTTTGGCCACCGTGGCAAACATGCAGACTAGATTTTCCCTAAGCTCTCATTCTGACCTCTTCAAGTTAACAAAAAAAAGGGTGGGGAAGCTGCTGATGGATTCATAGCATAAAGATCTTATGAGAGGCATTGGAGATGCTTCGGGTTCAAAGCCCTTGCCTGAGGGAAGCCCCCCCCCCCAGGAGAAACAGGATGTTTCGAGTGCCATCCCGTGCAGATAGATATAAGCTTAGCTCGTAGACCCCTGAGCTGTGCCCAGCTGCAAGGCTTCCATCTGTGGTTTTTGAACTGATTTTGACCTGTTGCCTAGACTAAGCTTACTTTGGTGTAGGTCAAGTGGCTCCTGCAGAAAACCTACTCTGGTCCTCTGTCTGTGAGCACAAGTGCAGGGGTTGGAGCATTGCATCTTTGGGGGGGGGGTGTCAAGGGTTTTGTCCCCTAGCCACTGTGCAGCAACCACACTGGCTGAAGTGGTCCTCTGAGTTTCTGTAACTTTCCTAGATTTTGTTACAAAAAGGGAAGAGAGGAACCGTGCCAGTTCCTGCAGCTCTTGGACAAACAGCTCCCTTGTTCGTTGGCATTGTTTGCCTGTTTTGGAAATCCTGGCGTTGGGGGGGGGGGTCTCTGGCCTGTCTGGTTTGGGAACGTCTCCCCTTACAGGGGCAGGTTCTCTGCTGTCTGTCCAGCCAGCTCCAGGGGCCGCTTCGTGTTGTCCTCTTCTTGCGCCAGAGCAGGTTCTGGGGAAAGTGGCACCACCTCCTTCCAGCCACAGCTGCAGAACCAAACTGCCGATGGGAGTGTTCCTGCTTGTGTTGTCTCCGAGTGCAACATCTCCTCTGGGACCATTTGGTCTGCCTCGCAGGGTTCTTGTGAGGATAAGGAGGAAAGGAGCAGAGTGGTACACGCTGCCATAAATTTCCTGACAGAGACAGGATGGTAGTGTAATTTTAAAATGATAAAGAACAGTGTCTATTCATCCTGCTGGTGGGTCGTGATCTTCCCAAGGTGAGACCTGTGAGGGATCGTAGCCCACCCCAGCCCTCTTACACAAAATCTCATGGATCAGATTAGGTAGTTCAGGATGCGGAGGGGGGCGCACAGGGGGAGCAGAGCGCTGCCCAAAGGAGCCCTGTGCCTCAATATCCTCAGCTCTGGAAATCTGCTTGCCGCCAGGGCAGCCCAAATGGCCCTCTTGCTGCTGGAACCCCCCACGGCCGCTCCTGGGATCCCGCCACAGGTGCCGCCCTCCAGCAGGCACCCCGAGGGCACGTGCTGGCTGACGACTGCCTTGCAGGCTCTCTGCTTGCAGCCCATGGCCTGAGCGGATGGCAACTCAAGCGCTATGTGTTCCTTCACTTTGTTGAGTCCTTTGTGCCACTGCTTGCTTCCATCACCTGTTCCAACAGCCTCCTTACCTGTTTCATGTCCAATGGATGTCTCAAGGAGGGGAAGGGCCAGCATCCGTGTGTGTATATATATATGTTGGGGGCCCACAATCTACTGGACCTCTCCTTTGAAATTAATTATACTTTTACACATGTCCTTGTGCTGATAGTGGCAACTGTCCCTTGAACCCATCAGCCACCACCCTGGGCTAGGAAAAGGGTTTCTGCAGCTCCTCCGCCCTGGAGCTTCTCTGCTCGCGAGCGCCTTGCCTGCCATCTGTGGGCCCAACGGGGTCAGGTGTCCTGTTTTTTTTGCACCTCCTGGAGGCTCATGCAAATGGACCCTCTTTTTTTGCTTTTTTTTTTTTTAAAACAACAGCATCTTGCAATGGAGCACAGCATCTAGAAGGAGGCCTGATGCCGCCAGAACACAAGCCTAGACAGCTCCATTCCCGTAAAGTTGGTTTGGTAACAACTGGACTGAGCGAGTGTCGTGCTCTTGGTGGGGCAAGGATGGCTCGGACCAGGGATTCTGCAGCTTTAATGAGCCAAGGGTGACCAGACGGATTAGACCCCCAAAAAAGAGAAAGAAGGAAAGAAAGAAGGCAGGCATCTTACAAAGATGTTTTGAACCATACCAAAATTAAGTGATACACAGAAGAGGAAAACAAACAAAATATAAAAAGAGCATTACGTACTCAGAGGCTGCTGTTGTCAATGATGTTTTGTTTTTGTTTGTTTTTTGTACAGGGATATGTTGGAAGCTGGAATATACATCCTGCAGACAAAGTGCAAAAATACTACATGCTCAGAGGCCAAGCATGACACCTGGAAGTGGCCGATGGCAAGATGGAACGGGGTCCCCCATCCCGCCTGATTCCTCACCTGTGGCAGAAGGCCACACACATACCCCTCCTCTGCCAGGGCAGCTCCTGAAGCAAACCTCCCAAGAAATGGTGCCCAGCAGGGGCAGGGGGTGCCCACAGTCCAGGGGGCAAGGGGGAGGAGGGACAGGGTTCAGGATGGAAGACGGTGCGTAAAATTCTTTGCCCCCTTGAGGCGCTCCCTGCTCCCAGGACCTGGTAGAGGCTTTGGAGCCCGGTTTGTCACTAGAAGAAATGCATGTCACGGAGAACTTTGGTCCTCTTTAAAAAATCTGACTGGGTCAAGTTTTAATCATGCCAAGAAGGATGGATGTGAGCATTTTAATAAGCAAAGGGAGGGAGCTGTAACTTTCTGGAAACAAGCACAGGATTTTACCTGTACCTGCCATCTTACAATAGGATGATATGTGCAACTGTGTGCTGTTGGTTTCTTGGTGTATGTTAATTTAAAAGCATTGCTTTGGGACAGGAAGTTGAAGAGCCGAATTGTGCTCCTCTTTTTCAGGAGTCTACCCGGGGGGAGGGGAGGACAAGAAAAGCAAATGCTTAAGACTTTTCTTTTAGCTCAAACTTACAAAAAAAAAATCAAAATGTTTTGGGCAGAATGAATTTTGTTTCTGTAAAAATCTCTTAGTGGAAACTGACTTGATTTCCATCTTCCTCTTTTTTCTGGATGGAATGGAAGAAGCAACCAGTTAACCAAAATCACATTCTTGGCAAAAAACCTCCGAGGACTTTCCCACCAAGCATCCCAAATCATGCAGAGGCTGGGCGTGACCCCGTGGCCGGGGTCTTGCCTGGGAGCCTGGCTGAGGCAGGGCAGGCCTTCCACGCCGCTGGGCCGTGGCAGGGCAGCTCCGCCTGCGTGGACCATTCCCCCCTGCTTCCCAGAACCACTTGCCACCCTGACGGACGTTTCCTGATGAGGAGCCGTTCCCATCCAGCCTGGCCCTGGGCGGATGGGAGCGCTGTTACCATTCTGCCATGCCACACAGCATAAGTGTTATACAAGCAAAGAATTTTGGCTAAAATCCAAAAACATTACCCAGAGGGGGGGGGAAAGGCAAACTGTGAGTGATGCTCAATCTGTTGTTGTTCTTCTGTGAAAAGACTCGGAAGTTGTTGCAGGACAGTTCAGAAAAACCAGATTGTTCCCCTTCTACTTTTTGCTCTCTGTTGTCCACTTCATTATCCCCCATTCGTACGTCTTATTTTTTATGAATCTGTTTAATTTTTGCAAACAAGACAGTCTTAAGTTAGATGAAAAAGTTAATAAACAAAATGGCAACGCCAATGTTTAACAAGATCACCATGACGACCAGGATGGGAGCCGAGCCCTGCAGGAAGAAAAGAGAGAAAGGGATAAGCCAACAGCAGGGAAAGGCCAGCTCGAGGGGACAGGCTGAGCAGGAGGGGAGCGGAGACCAGAGCCGAGAGCCTTCTGAGGCTACTTTGCCAGCTAGCATGGGATCAAACTCTGCCTGACCCAATGCCCCTCATTAGAAGCTGAGCCCCATGGGTGTTGCAGAAGGTACGATTTGGGCAGACCTTCATCTCTGCGCAGTCAGGCATCCAAAAATTGGCATTGTTTACTGCCAGGTGACCAACCGCAGACCAAGCCAGTTCATTTGCCAATGGTGGGGTTGCTGCAGGAGGCTCTTACTGTGGCAAGGAGCTGATTCTGAGCATATATATGTAAGAGAGTTCCCTTTGGGGGCTTTCGGCAGCTTGGCCCCCAGCTCAGCAAGAGGGACAACTCAAAAGTCCCGCCATCCGTGCCCACAAGGCCCGGGCTCCTCCAGCCTTTGAAATCCTGCCAGCTGTAGGTTGCCATCAGCGTCTGTGAGCATCAGATCTTTCAGCCATCCAGATGTTTTGGCCTGTCCACACCTGGCCAGCAACCCCCATCCCTGCAAGGGAGACAGTGGCCCTATCTGGAGGGCCAAAGGTTTCCCCCTGCTCTGAGATAACCTGCCACCAGAACTGAGAGCTCTCTGTGTCTCATCCACTTCCGGGTGCTGGTGACTCGAACCAGCCTGTTAAGCTGTCTCTGGAAAGGAGGCTCTGTCACAGCCCAAGGCGGGGGGTGGATGCAGGGGTGGGGAGGCTTTGGCGTCCTGGGAGGCCTGGGAACTGGGCTGTTGCAAAGCCAGGAAGGCAAAGGCCGTGACTGAGCTGCCCAGAGGGGAGGGGAGGGCAGGGGAGGGGAGGGCCAGCTCACCCCACCCCACCCCACCCCAGTCACTGGCCACCCTGCCCTTGGTTTTGGCTGGCTAGTGCTGTATAAGCACCTTTCCAGGTCGGTCCACGAGCTGTTAAGCAGGCATGTGGACTTCAGCCTAACCCAGGTGGGTGGTTTGAGCTCTGCCACCCCAAGTACAGGGGGTGAATTCTATAAACCCTGCCATTATCTTCTTAAAAGGTCAAAAAGATATAAGTTACACTGACAAAGCATAGTTGAAATTTGCCTCTTTAAAGCATCCTCATCTCCTCCTCCCTTGTATCCTCCCATTTTGGAGAAACAAGAAGTTAAAATCATCCTTCAATGCAGAGGTGTGGCCTTGCTGGGACCTGGGGTTGCGGTCTCTGAGGTCTGTGGTACCTGTTGCCACTACCTGCTGACTGTGAAGAGCAGATGTTGGAAAACGGCAGGCTGAAGCCAGAGCCAGGCAGGGAAAGAATACTAATGACATGACCAGAACCTTCACCCTGCGCAGTCCTTTCTCTCGCTCTCGCTCTCGGTCTGGAGCTCCCCGAGCACAACCCTGATTTGGTGCAATGGGGAAAAGCAGTCCAGGAACTGAGGCCATGAGACCAAAGCAAGCGATAATGACCTCAGCCCTTTTGAAGCTAATTAAAGCTATCTTGCACAAAAAACACTGTTGTTTGCAGAAGCTTGGGTTCTTTGCAATTAAATTTTTCTGAATCTGGACAACCCTAATTTTCAGCCTTGAGGTCTTGCATCCTCACTCGGTGGGAGGATTTCACGTCTGACTTCACAAAGTAGAATACAAAGGGCTGACGTCTCTTGCTCAGCCTGAAAGCAGGCCGGTAGGATAGGCATCCTAGTCTCTGTGGCCTGGCCTTATGCTTAGGGGAGCATTACATAAATGAATGCAAGTTATATGTCTGCGCAGCTTATCCTCCCACTTCCTGGACTCTGGAACCTGGCCAGGGATCTCGAGCTGCACCTTTTGACAGAAGGGCTCCTTCAAAAATACCGGCACCCAAACAATAAGATGGCTATTTTGGGGGTCCCAGAGCTTACAAACTGATGGACATTGCCTGCTAATGAACCGGCACAAGGTTCCTTCCCTCTGAGGGCTGCCAGGATGTGGAAGAGAGCACCTTTCTCCCCCCCCCTTGCTTCTTCTACCTGGTTAGAGGGAGGCGGGCTGACCAGGTGCGCCACGACGGGAGCCGTTCCCGGCGAAAGGGGTCGGGCCCAGAGACCCTGCCCTCCCCGCTCTAACC